GGTAAATCGATCAATCGGATTAATATTATTTAATAATGGAGGCTCAGTTTTATTGGTAAAATAGTGGCTAAATGAGGAGAGCAATAATATTACTCTTGTGGGATGTTTTATTAATTAATTCCATTTAAATAGGAATTAATTTTATTTCAAATTAATTAATTTAATTAGGAGAATAAAATTCCGACTAGAATCTTCTCTTGGAATTAGGAGACTAAGGAGTCTTCTAGAATATGGAGATTAGTAGGAAATATATTTCCTACATTAAATAATTATTTGGAGTAGAATTAGGCTTCCTAAATTAAGAATTAATTTTATTCCATGATTATTAATTTAATTAGGAAAGATATTCCTACTAGGATCTGCTCTAGTGTTAGGAGACTTAGGAGTCTTCTAGAAGATGGAGATTAGTAGGAGATCTCCTTCCTACATTAAATTAGTATTGGAGTAGAATTAGGATTCATAGGCCTAAATGGGATAAGCCCATATTTAGCACCTCCTTAAGGTCCCTAATGGAGCCTATAAATACACCATGTCCCAATCTATCCTATGTAGATATGCTGGCCGACTTTTCTCTCTATATACACACGAGAAATAGCTTTGTTCGAGAGTTAGGGAGATTCGATTAAACGCTCCACCAAGTTTAATCGAAGTAGGTGTTTAGGACGGTGCGAGTTTAGCGAAACAGGGCCTTGTAATGAAATCCATTAGAAGGCTTTTTGGTACAATATATTGAGCTTTCTAATACATATATTTCCGGTCATCATCACCATCTCATTGTCGTCCGCCGCCGTGAGGAGTCGCCAGAAATCGCCTACTGCCGTCGGAAGCCAGTCGAGACCAGTCGAGCGCAACTGCACGTCTTGCACGCAGTCGCGCACCAGCCAGGCCAAACGCCAATTCCCAGCAACATCCGTGAGCGACGCCCGCAAGGTCCCAGCGCCACCTGCTTGCTGATGTTCGCGTGCGCATCTCGCCAGTCGCCGGTCGCGCACTCCCAGCGCGCATCCTCCACGCGCGCGACACTCCTTGTGCGCCCAGGATTCCTTGCTCCACACATCCACGTGGTCAAGACGCACGACGCTAGTCTGCGAGCGCCCAGGACTCCTGCAACGCACGCGCACGATCTGCCTGCCAGCTCTCGGCGCTCGACGCTCGCCAGCTGCTGTCCGCAACACGCACGCCTGTGCCCAGCGCCAAACGATAGAGCCCGACGCGCATCTGCCGCTGCTCCGACCCCGAGACCCGCTTGCCGTGTGATCAAGCTTCGTGGAACCTATCAATTAGAATCGACTGAAGGCCAAATCTATCCGCCCATTAGATTGTGGTGTTCAGACGAACTTCATCAACGGTACTTTACATCGTCTCAAAGTCGGCAAAAATTTTAAAAGGTAAACTTCCATATCCTAACTATAGATTCCGCTGCGTTAGGATTTATTTCGATAAGTTCAATGTTGTGCATGTTGTTTGACGTTCCTCACAGAACCCAACAGATCACACGCTAAGGAAATTATAGCACGTCATTGGAGTTCAAATGGTCCTTATTGCACGCTAATGGTCATTGGCTTGTGCTAACCATGCTTCAGGTAAGTAAGCACGTTCAATTATCGTTAGTCATGTATTGCACGGTCAAATTTTCTTCCATCATCATTGCCAAGACATGTGGAGGCTTGAGAGGGTGATGACTAAGCAATGAGTGTGATGACTAAGCTAGTAGAGGCCACCTTAGGCCCTTGTTGCACGGCAAGTGGCGTGCGCCTATTGGCCACGCCCTTGACTTGGTTTTCCTTCAATTTTTACCTCCATTCACCCGAGTATATATCAGAGAAGTTGGGTGAAAATTTCAGCATATACTCAAGTTAAACACGAAGCAAAGAGTTAGATAAATTAAGCTAGTTTAAGATCATTTATCGCACGCACGCACGGTATCGAGCGGACAAGCTAAGGTCGAGCAATATTGGAAATTCTGTTCAATTGATCGAGCAGTTGAGGAGGTAATTTCTTCTTGACTTTATTTTGATCCTAGTATAGTCATGCCAAGTCCAAATTATGTAGTTAAGTTCATGAATAAATCATGGTTGCTCTCTGTCGCACTACTTGAATTATAAGAGTTAAGTTCGTTTCTGTCTGACAACTCTCGAGTGATTTATGCTTCATTAGTCATTATTCGGTGTATTATGTTCAGTCATGTAGTAGTGGTCGAGAGAAATTGTCAGGTGGTCGAAGAATTGGCCAAAACCGTGGGCTACGCACAAAGCGCATGTCCACGACCATCCATGTTCCATTAGTCTTGTTAAGTATGGGTTTGCTGGGCGAATTATGTGTGATTATTTATGTTATGTTATGTTATGTTATGATGATCTATGATATAGTTGTTGGAGGATATCGCCGGATGGCCGGCAAGGGCCGGTCGTGGTCGTGCAGCCTGCACACGGCAGCAGCAGCGTGCCGGCAGTCAGTCCAGGGCGGACGGGCATCGTGCGTGCATGCCCAGTTGGGCGTTGCGCATAGCCCTGCCCGTAGCCAGCCACCAGTTGGCAGTGCCCAGCGCACGCCAGCACGCCCCAGCGCACGCCAGTGCGCCAACAGCATGTCAGTCGGCCTTGGGTTGTGCCCGACAGCACGCCCGAGCGCCCAGTGCTGTCAGGGTCGCTCGGCAGCGCCCGATGGGCACCAGCTACGCCAGCCACGCACGCAGTGTTCATGCCAGTCGCCTGCTGCGGCCCTCGGTAGCGCCCAGCAGCGCCAGTCACGCAAGCGCCAGCGCCCATAGCGCTCGACAGCGCCCCAGCTATATATTCAGTCGCTCGCCCAGTCCATGACAGCGCGCACGAGTGACCATGCCCGTGCACCAAGACATGCCAGCAAGGCCTGCAGCTTTATGCTGCGCCCAGTCCATGCAGCGCCTGCGCCCGAGGCCTTAGCAGGCCAGTTGGCTGAGCCAGCGGCCGACCGCCCGGCCACAGCAGGCCGACGGTCTGGCCAGACCCCAGACCGGCCGATTCAAACCGGTCCACTTCACGGATTACTGTTTAAAGTCCCAGTTCATGTTTATGTTAAATTTCAATTAAATTCCGAGTCTGGTCCAGTTCAGTAAATTCATGTCATTTCAGTTTCGATTTTAACCGGTTCCGGTTATACTGGTTAAGTTCAAATATCATGTCAAGTTCAAGTTTAGCATATTAACATATTAAACAGCTAGTTTAATCAGTCTGAGCATAGTACTTAGTAATTGTTTATATTATGTTACAGTTTGATCAGGCTACTGTTATCAGCACTACCATTTTCATATCGACGGTTCAGGTGGGGACTCAGACTGGGTATTACATTGATTATAATTACGGTACCATGTTTGAGGTACGTATCATGCTATGCTATGTATCTGCTTCGAATGGTCGCCAGTCCATTCTGAGTTCTAGTGGCCTAGTCTGCCAACTAAAGTGTGCACATGGTGTCCGACATTTTATGTTGGCAGATGAGGTAACGTTTATGAGGCAACGATTCATGTTATGGCAATGGTTTACCGGTATCATGCTATGTTATGTTTATGTATATACCAGGATCATGATATTGCAATTATTTTCACTGTTTACTTCCGTATGAGTTCCTACGGAGCACAGTGGACTTAGGTGCTCGTGCCCCATGTTATTTATATTTTTCAGGTCACAGAGTCGGAGTGGAGGAGTGAGATGATGGCCGGTTCGGGATTTTGTTTATATGTTTGAATTTGGCATAGCAGTGCTGGTACTATCTCCAGTAGTGGAGTTTAAATGTTTTGCCACGCTACGTTTCCACTGATTTTGACTGCTTGCCAAACTTAGCCTTTTGATCCGAAACTAGTCAATTTGTTATATTATGATAAATCGTTCTTCTTTAAAAACTAAAATAATGGTTTTCCAGGTAAAGTTATCGTTATGGTAGCACTCCGAAACATGATTTCGCAAACTAATCAGTAATTTTGATTAAAAGGTTTTGCGAAAATTTAACTCTGATATTTATGACATAGCGGGGTGTTACATACATGACTTATGTTGTTACTCAGCACAACCGTCTTATCCAATAGTTCGCCCGGATGCAGATTCAGGTTGTTGATGCACTTCCTACGGTGATTACGGGGAGTGTCAGCGTTATGCAGGTCCAGCCTACATTGAGGGAAAGGATCCGGCGGGAGCAGGCTTCGGATGAATTTGTTCGTGCTATTGATGCCAAAGTCCACGCCGGAGGCGTTGAGGGTTTTCACCGAGGCACTGATGGGGCCTTGGAATTTCGAGGCAGGATTGTCGTACCAAAAGTCGAGGCTTTGCGGAAAGAGATACTGACCGAAGCTCATACCGCACCTTATTTAGCCCCACCCAGGGAGCACGAAGATGTATCATGACCTGAAAAGGTCGTTCTGGTGGCGAGGGATGAAGAAGGACGTAGCCGACTTTGTGAGGAAATGTTTAACCTATCAGCAAGTCAAAGTAGAAAACAAGAGTCCCTTGGGCCTTCTGCAACCACTCGAGATTCCGAAGTGAAAGTGGGAGGAAATTACGATGAATTTTGTCACAGGGTTACCAGGTCATCTGAACATCACGATGCTATTTGGGTCGTGGTGGACAGGTTGACTAAGGTTGCTCATTTCTTACCAGTATCGATGAATATGTCTTTGGACAAGTTGGCTGAGAATTATACCCGTGGGATTATCCGACTCCACGGAGTGCCCGTTACTCTCGTGTCAGACAGAGATCCCAGGTTCACCAACAGATTCTGGGAGAGTTTGCACAAGGCGATGGGCACGAGACTAGAGTTCAATTCAGCCTACCATCCAAAGGCTGACGGACAAACCTAGCGGACTATTCAGACATTGGAGGACATGCTACGAGCTTTGGTTGTTGACAGGGGTGCTAAGTGGGAGTCGTTATTACCATTGGTCGAGTTCACTTACAACAACAATTATCATGTTTCTATTCAGATGGCCCCTTACAAGGCACTGTAAAGTCGTAAGTGTCGTTCCCCTCTTTATTGGGATGATGTCGGTGAGCGTCGAGTACTCGGTCCGAAGATGATCGAGGAAACGGCAGAACAGGTGGAGTTGAACAGGCAAAGGTTAAAGACAGCTCAGAGTCGTCAGAAGTCATCAGCCGATCAGCATCGACGAGATATCCAGTTTGAGGTTGGGGAGCGAGCCTTCCTTAGAGTTCGTCCATTCTGGGGGATCGTTCGATTCGGGAAGAGAGGGAAGTTGCACCCTCGTTTCATTGGCCGTTCGAAGTTCTCGAACGAGTGGGGGAAGTTTCTTATCGATTAGCCTTACCTCCTGAGTTGTCCAATGTTTATAATGTTTTTCATGTGTCCATGTTACGCAAGTACGTGTGCAATCCAGACCATGTCCTTCAGCATACCGATATTCATATTCAGCCAGATCTATCTTACAAGGAGAGACCGGTAGCTGTACTGGACCGACAGGTTCGTCGGCTCCGGAAACGTGATGTTCCCCTCGTTCTTATTCGGTGGGATCGCCACGGAGCCACTTGTTAGCAAGAGGCTGATATTCGCGCTCGTTTTCCTGATTTTAAATTTTGATGTATATATTTTCTTCTGTCCTATGTATATATGTTTCGTTTTGCATTTCCGAGGACGGAATATTTTAAGGAGGGCAGATTGTAATAGCCCACTATGTTATTAATGTAAATTACGCGTTTAGTTCTGAAATATTTTATTTTATCGATCATTATCATTCGGGACTAATTCTTCCAGTCAGGAATGTTCGAATTAATTTTCGAAGTCACGTTTATTCTCGGAATAATTTTTAAGTAATTAATTTCATATGTTATAGATTAATCCATGCTTAATCATAGGTTTTCGAGCTTAAGTTCATTGATCATGTGCTAATTTCTTATCGAGTGACCTAATCGGACGTTGATCACACGCTAAGGAAATTATAGCACGTCACTGGAGATCAATTGTCCTTATTGCACGCCAATGGTCATTGGCTTGTGCTAACCATGCTAAAGGTAAGTAAGTACGTTCAATTTCCGTTAGTCATGTATTGCACGATCAAATTTTCTTCCATCATCGTTGCCAAGACATGTGGAGGCTTGAGAGGGTGATGACTAAGCAATGAGTGTGATGACTAAGCTAGTAGAGGCCACCTTAGGCCCTTGTTTCACGGCTAGTGGCGTGCGCCTATTGGCCACGCCCTTGACTTGGTTTTCCTTCAATTTTTATCTCCATTCACCCGAGTATATATCAGAGAAGTTGGGTGAAAATTT